TCCCTGATGAAGGTCCCTGATGAAGGTGGGGGGTCCCTGATGAAGGTGGGGGGGTCCCTGATGAAGGTGGGGGGTTCTAATGATTAATAATGTATCACTTTGGACTCTGACGATGAGTGTGGCGCTCCTTCTACACTGCACAGCGAGGCCGGTGACACCATTAGTTCCTTATTCACCTGTGCGGTTTCCTGTGTCACTGCCTGTGAGTTGGATTATGAAGGAGTGCTGTGCTGATGATGATGAATTCCCTGGAAGATTTCTTATATTGTTTTTTTCTCTTCCAGGTTCCTGAACAGTCTGAGGGCCCATCTGAAGCAGCTGCACCCGCGCACCAACAGCACCTCCCGGGGGAAGAACATTGTCCACGTTCATTTCAAGGAAGAGATTGGCATAGCGGAGCTGATCCCTCTGGTCACCACCTACATCATCCTATTCGCTTATATTTATTTCTCCACCAGTGAGTACGAGTCTTGGCGTGACCGGGCCTCATGGACTTGGCGTGACCGGGCCTCATGGACTTGGCGTGACCGGGCCTCATGGACTTGGCGTGACCGGGCCTCATGGACTTGGCGTGACCGGGCCTCATGGACTTGGCGTGACCGGGCCTCATGGACTTGGCGTGACCGGGCCTCATGGACTTGGCGTGACCGGGCCTCATGGACTTGGCGTGACCGGGCCTCATGGACTTGGCGTGACCGGGCCTCATGGACTTGGCGTGACCGGGCCTCATGGACTTGGCGTGACCGGGCCTCATGGACTTGGCGTGACCGGGCCTCATGGACTTGGCGTGACCGGGCCTCATGGACTTGGCGTGACCGGGCCTCATGGACTTGGCGTGACCGGGCCTCATGGACTTGGCGTGACCGGGCCTCATGGACTTGGCGTGACCGGGCCTCATGGACTTGGCGTGACCGGGCCTCATGGACTTGGCGTGACCGGGCCTCATGGACTTGGCGTGACCGGGCCTCATGGACTTGGCGTGACCGGGCCTCATGGACTTGGCGTGACCGGGCCTCATGGACTTGGCGTGACCGGGCCTCATGGACTTGGCGTGACCGGGCCTCATGGACTTGGCGTGACCGGGCCTCATGGACTTGGCGTGACCGGGCCTCATGGACTTGGCGTGACCGGGCCTCATGGACTTGGCGTGACCGGGCCTCATGGACTTGGCGTGACCGGGCCTCATGGACTTGGCGTGACCGGGCCTCATGGACTTGGCGTGACCGGGCCTCATGGACTTGGCGTGACCGGGCCTCATGGACTTGGCGTGACCGGGCCTCATGGACTTGGCGTGACCGGGCCTCATGGACTTGGCGTGACCGGGCCTCATGGACTTGGCGTGACCGGGCCTCATGGACTTGGCGTGACCGGGCCTCATGGACTTGGCGTGACCGGGCCTCATGGACTTGGCGTGACCGGGCCTCATGGACTTGGCGTGACCGGGCCTCATGGACTTGGCGTGACCGGGCCTCATGGACTTGGCGTGACCGGGCCTCATGGACTTGGCGTGACCGGGCCTCATGGACTTGGCGTGACCGGGCCTCATGGACTTGGCGTGACCGGGCCTCATGGACTTGGCGTGACCGGGCCTCATGGACTTGGCGTGACCGGGCCTCATGGACTTGGCGTGACCGGGCCTCATGGACTTGGCGTGACCGGGCCTCATGGACTTGGCGTGACCGGGCCTCATGGACTTGGCGTGACCGGGCCTCATGGACTTGGCGTGACCGGGCCTCATGGACCTTTTCAGGGTCATACACACAGTCACTTCGAGGTCCCCCAACCCATAGCGAGCCACATTATGTGAAAACCAAACTTAAGCCCCATCCCCCCCATCCCACCCTATCCAATCCCACCCCATCTCGTCCCACCCCATCTCATCCCACCCCGTCCCACTACCGATAACTTTCCTTACAAGCACGCCTGTCATTAGTCGGTGGCTGAGAAAGGCTGTAATGAGGAAGAATTGTAATAGAGTTATTCCAGGAAATAAAACGCAGAAATCCCCGGAATGCGTCCCGTGCAAAGAAAAAAGAAATAGCCCAAGTCTCACTCCGGCTGGGTTTTCGTGAGGTTATCACCCCGTCCATGCCCCCCCACCCCGAGGTACT